ATCACATATCCAACAAGCGCGAGTGGAATAATTGTTTTATTATGGAATATTATTATTATACTATAGCTAAAATATGTTGTACCGGTAAATTGAAATGGAATTGGATAAAACTGATTTTAAAATTAAATCAGTTATTAAGCTTGGTTGATGCTTTAAAAAATTAATTTGTCGATTAGTTCAAAACGACCAAATATTTACCACTTGTACAATAAAACAAAATCAAAATTTACACTACCTCCACATTAGTAATTAAGTAAGTTAAGTAACTAAACTCTTTATTTACTAGTAAAGAGGGTAGCACAACATTAATAAACTTGTTGCCACTACTAAAAACTATAAAAACCACAAAGTTAAACTATAGTGCTATTTGCCTGCGTTTATGGTAAGCTTACTCAACTTGCCTTGTGCCCGGCTTAAAACAGCAACTGCAAAAAGTAGAAAGAAGAGTTGTTATTTACCAAGCAATAAAAACTGATGTGGACGTATGATATTTTTCAAAAAAAAAAAAATAAACAACCAACTTTCAATTTTTAAGAAGAAATGTTTCGATCGGTTCACCGGTCATCATCAGTTCTGAGTTCGTCTATAATTGCGATTTGAGTTTATACCAGCAATGGCGAAACATTTCAAATTTTGAGACAAAATTTAACATACAAAGTTAACGTACAACGTTTAAATGCGCGGGACATGGAAAAACTCGTAAGCGGAAACTAAATACTCGGCAAAGAAAAAAAGGATAAATAAAATTATTTACAATTATTTCACCAACATATATGAATAAATAAGATTAAACAAAACGGCACTAATGTATAAGACTAGGGATAGTTAACACTACAGCTGCCCCCGCTGTTAGTCTTTTTTGTCTCAGCGCACCGTTACTACAGTCAATTCTTTCGCTTGATATTTTGGCTCTTCTATTTTCTAGATTGATTGAAAATCAGCTTTCTGTTTGGAATAGTCGTGCGATAATTCAGAAGAAAAGACTAATTTTTCTCGTGTTCTGCTCACAAAGTATCACGTGGTGTTTGTAGGTTTGGCTTTCTCTTTTTCAAGATCATGGGATGAGGACGTGACATTTAAAACAAACTTTCAGGAGGAATTTAGATAAGAAAATCAAAGCCAAAATATGCAAAAATTCTAAAAGATAAATGACCTCATAAATGACCACGTAAATTTAATTACACGAACGCGTCCCCAACTTCCTGAGATCATTTTGCCTTTTTCGCTGTAATGAGTGATCTCAGTGAGGATAAACTTAAGCAACAACCAAACGTTTTAAAACTACCAATTGAGACCAACTGTTTCAATATATTAGGGCTGGGAACTCGAGCAACAGCGACCAACTTGACGGCTGAACTCGAAACGGATGCCGAAAGATTTCTCACCTCTGTCAATGAAAACGCCTGCCGTGAGTTTTAGAACTCTTTTGAATTCTCTTTCCTTCTTGACAAGTCTCGATCAATTACAAATTTCATTTAAATACCGGAAGACTGATCGAATCTTTTATCCGGTCAAGTAGTTTGTATTTGGTAAGTCGCGGTTTTGGACTGAGTCTTGCTTATCGTTAATCGTGGAGAAATTTGTAGATATGTTCGTAATGGTTCTTGGAC